CCGGGCGGAGCGGAGCCAGTCCCATCCCGGGAGGAGCGGTGTCAGCCCCGGAGCCTCCGCCCCTCCATGGCCGCCATGGCCGCTCCGCCGCCCGCCGAGCCCCCGGTGCCCCCCGGYCGGTGCCKCCCGTCGCTGCTCGCCGTGGAGCCGCTGCTGTTCCTGGCCACCGTGTCGCTGGGGCTGCAGGGTCCCCTCGCCACGCAGTACCTGTGGGACCGGCTGGGAGCCGAGCACGGCTACAGCGACCGCAACGGCACCGACTCGGCCGGGTGCGGGGACGGCAACGCCACCGCTGATCCCCTGCGGCAGGTGCGCGACACCGGGGGAACGGGGACAGCGGGGACAGCGGGGACAGCGGGGACAGCGGGGACCCAGGGCAGCGGGGGGAGAGGGAAGCTCTGGGGAGGGAGAGAGAACTCAGGGACAAAGGAGAGCCCGGGGGGAGGGGAGGCACGGAGGGAGAGGGGAGCCCCGGGGGGAGAGGGCAGCTCATGGGTCCGGGGAGAGGGAAGCCCTGGGCGAGCAGGGGGACAGAGGTGTCCTGGGGGAGCGGGGAGCCCCAAGGGGAACAGGGAGCCCCAAGGGGAACAGGGAGCTCGGGAGGAGCTGGAAATCCCTGGGAGCAGAGGGTCAGGTTAGGAATGAGAGCCTGGGGGGCACCAGGGAGCCCCAGGAGGGGAATGGGAAGCCCAGTGTGGCACTGGGTGCTGTCGGAGCTCCTCAGCTGCCCGTTCCTCCCGCAGGAGGTGGAAGCCCTGGTGTCCCACTGGAACCTCTACATCAACCTGGGGGGTTTCTTCGCGAGCCTGTTCTCCGTGACTCTCTTCGGCCCCTGGAGCGACAGCGTGGGCCGGCGGCCGGCGCTCATCCTGCCAACGGCGGGCATGGCCCTGCAGACGGCCATCTACCTGCTGGTCATGTACCTGGAGCTGCACGTCGCCTTCTTCCTGCTGGGACGCATCCTGAGCGGCCTCACCGGCGACTACAACCTGATCCTGGCCAGCTGCTTCTCCTACGTGGCCGACGTCAGCGAGCGGCGCGCKCGGACATTCCGGGTGGCCATCCTGGAGGCCTGCCTGGGCACCGCGGGCATGGTGGCCAGCATCRGCGGTGGCCAGTGGCGCAAGGCCCAGGGCTACATCAACCCCTTCTGGCTGGCCTTCGCTTCCAGCCTCGCCGCCACCCTGTAYGCCGCTCTCTTCCTGCGCGAGTCGGTGAAGGAGAAGAAGGCGGCCAAGCTGTTCACGCTCAGCCACTACAAGGCTGTGTACAGGCTCTACACCGCCCCGGAGCGCCCCAGCTCCAGGTGGAAGCTGGTTCTGTACTCCCTGGCTTTCTTTCTGATTGTCACAGTGCATTTCGGAGCCAAGGACATCTATGTTCTGTACGAGCTCGGCTTTCCTCTCTGCTGGACTTCCGACCTCATCGGTTACGGCTCGGCCGCCAGCTACCTGGCTTACCTGAGCAGCCTGGTGGGGCTGAGGCTGCTGCAGCTCTGCCTTGAGGACACCTGGGTGGCAGAGATAGGGCTGATCTCCAACATCGCTGGCATGGTGGTGATTTCCCTGGCGACCACAACGGCGCTGATGTTTACAGGTGATGCTGAAGCGTTAAATCCCCGTTTCTCAGGCTTTTTGGCGTTTTGGTGCTGATGTGCTCCTGCAAGTTCAGGCATGCACATGAAGTTCTGCCCTGTGCACCAAAAAAAAAAAAAAACTGGCAGTGTTGGCCAAACACTAAAGTTGGAAGTGCATCCATGTAATTCCTGGAGTATTAGGCCTCCCAGAGCTRTGTTACGCTGCAAACACAGACTAAAGTGCATTATGAAACCCAGGAGGATGAGTTGGGCCTAAATATAGCAAGGAGACAGCTTCACACTTCTTGGACTGACTTTGGAGATTTTGTTTTTCAGTTGAGCATTCCCTAATGTGTTTTATCTCACTCACAGGTTATGGGATTCTGTTCCTTTCCATGGCAGCCACTCCAGTCATCAGATCCAAGCTCTCCAAGCTGGTCAGTGAGACGGAACAGGGTAAGGAATTAGCCAGTGTGCTTAAGCCAGGTCCTGAAACGCTTCTTGGAAGGTTGAAACCAATCTCTGGGGAGGTTAGGAGTTCCCTGGCTCCTCTGGACTCCTGTGCCCTTGCATTTCGGTTAACATTTTAATTTTTTTCAGGATAATTGTCATTCTTTGATTTAGACTTGCTGCGTTTTCAAGACAAGAACAAGAGGAGAAAAGCGGGAATAGTTCATTCATCCGTCCATTCGTTCCCAAAACACTTACAAGGAGCAGGGGTTAAAATGGATTATATAACAAGGAGAAAAGAGTCYTTCTCCTGACCATAACCTCTCTCTGTAGATCAGTAACAGTGGGGAGAACCAGGTGTTGTTGGAGGGTTGTATCATTGACCACGGTGAAAGATCACGGATAACCCGCAGGACGAGCATATTTGCCTTTTGATCAGTTAAGTGTTGGGAGGGCTCGCTCTTGCTGTGAAACACAGCACAGGAATGTGTCCGAGGCAGGCAGAGGGAGGAGGGAATCCAGGTGGCAACGATCGAAAGGTGATTTTTGCACAACCCGTGTTTCTTATTTTAGAACGGCGATGGCGCGTACGGCGCGTTTATGGCGCTGAATCTTCTGCTGCACTTAATGTTTAACAGGTGATAAGAGGTGCTTGGTAGTGAACAGATCCATGGCCTGAAGCATTTACAACCCAGCTGATAGATAATATCCCTGGGCAGCTCCTTATCCAGATCCTGCAGGTGGTGAGGTGGTCGTGGCCACAGCTTGGACCTGCCAGGCCAGCGCTATGTCCTGCTTGATCTCACACTTCTTTCTGTGGGAAGTGCAAACCCTTGGAAAGACTGGCAGAATCCCCCAAGGGTGATGTGTCACAGCTGCTCACAGGCAGTAAGCACCTGCCTATCTCACCACTGACCTCTTATCTCTSTTTTTTCCAGGTGCTCTCTTCGCTTCTGTTGCCTGCGTGGAAGGGCTGTGTTCGCTGGCGGCGACGGGAGTGTTCAACTCCCTCTACCCGGCCACCTTGCACTTCATGAGGGGATTCCCATTTCTCTTCGGGGCTATARTCCTTCTCATTCCAGCAGCTATCCTTGGGTAATTTGCTTCAAATTCCTAAACTTCAAATTTCTAAACTTCAGATTTCTAAACTTYGAATTTTCTAAACAGGCAATGTCATATGGAAAATGCTATTTACTCCTAGGATGGAAGCTGGCAKTTTTAAGGTGTATTTTTGGTTATGAGGGAGTGTTTGGTGCCCCCTCTAAGCAGAGGTGCAGGTCATTTCTCCAGGAATCTGAATCCTGGGGATGAACCTGAAGCCTGGTGTAGCTGCCAATACTCAAAATGCTTCAAAGCCTCRCTCCACCCTCAGTGGAATCCAAAATCTGGAATTGAATTTGAGAGTTCTTTGTGGAAGAGGTGGAGCTCTCTCAGCAGGCTCTCTTCCTGTAACTTCTTCAGTAATTAGAGCAGAAGTTGTGATAGAAAACAAATCCCCTGGTAGGTTCTGGGAAATGGAATGTGTTTGGGATTTGCACAAGTGCACCAGCTCCTGGCAGGAGGAGCCAAAACAACAAAAAATATTGTTTTGTCCCTCTGAAACTTTTAAGACTCGCCCATTTCAGCAACATCCCCGCGTGCCTTTGAAAGTTGAAACTGTTTATTCTTTTCTAGGGGGATACAAATCTGGGATTCCAAACATGACTACAAYGACTTCCAAGATGCTTCCCTGTCCCCTGCAAAAGACTGAATTTATCAACAAGGAACCGGCCAGCACGGCAGTGTCCACCTGAAGTGGACAAAGTGGACAAAAAATTGCACTTTATTCTTCCCCCAAAGGACAGATCAGTGTGGCAGGGACACCCTGCTTGTCCTTACTAACTCTTAAATGCCAAACAGTTGGAAATCAGAGGAGGAGCTCGATTTGGAGCTGTGAGTGCCTCCTCAGTGTTGTGTTGGCTCATCTGTCAGAGCRAACCCAAGAGACCCCAAAGCCAATCAAGCTGCTGTGGGCCTTTTGCAAGGCTGATTCACGGTTTGGTGTGGCCAGGAGGCTCTGCCATGCTTTTAGTGGGGAGAGAGGACTGAGTTCTGGTTTAATTGCCAGGCATTTTCCCCTCTGAGTAGCACAGAGTGCAGCAGATGAGCTGTGTGAGGGTGAGGCAGTGTCCTGCTGCACAAGGGAAGATCTGTGCTCCAGATCATCGCATTGCCAGTAAAAACCCTACAAATGTGACATGCCACAAAAATCCCTATGGGGAGGGGTGGTTTAGCACAGGGGTGCTATTGCTGTCCTTARTGACCAAACCAGTGTTAGATTTGAAAGTCAGAGGTGTCCCAGGGAGGGGATCTCATCATTGAAGTGTTTGTAGGAATTCCAGTGGGGTGTCCTGCCTGTCTGCAGCTCAGCCCAGGATCTCACAGGTGTTTTTTGGGAAATAACAGATCACCTGAGAATACTGCAGTGCCAGTGGAATGAATCCTGGGTTGGGAGGGGACCCACAGGGATCATTGAAGTGACTCCTGTACGTGCCTTAATTGACCCTTGCCAAACCTGATGAACCTAAGGCTAAAATTGTYCAAATTGTTCCCCCCTTACACTGCAAAACTGAGCCCCAGCCMCGTGAAATCCCTGCTGTGCTTACCCAGAGCCCATCCTCAGCAAGCTGATGTGAGAAACAGGAACAGTGACTTGAAGATTAATTTTTTTTTTTTTTTGTTATATATGGCATAATTTTGTGTTGATGACCTCAGTCCTTCTGCCTGGCTTGGGATCTGTTGATTCCAGCAAGCCAACCCCATGTCCATGGTGCTTATAATTGTTCTTTTGAAGCATTGCCTGTGCTGCTGCAATCCTTTTTTTTTCTATTCACCGTGCCATAAACCAGCAGTTCTGTGTACACTGCACTGCACACGCTGTTCAGGTACAGGCAGTAATGACTTTACTGTTACTTTCAGAATGAATAAAACCTCCGTGCTCTTTTATGGTTCATAAAACTCTTGATTTTCTTGTGTAGCTGTTGGTATTGTTTGTCCTTGACTCATTCATGGCTTCTCTCCATTATTTTCGTTCTCCTTTGTTGAAGATTTTGCAGTAAAGAAGGAGCAGCAGGGATTTATCTGGCTTGTGGAGAATGAGTGTGTGAGGCTGAAAAGTCAGGGAAAATGCAGGTTTGGGATCTGCAAGCAGCCAAAATTTGCTTTTCCTGACCACCAGAGTCAGACCTGGGAGAGACCTTCATCTGAAACCTGTCCTCAGCGTGCAGTAAATGTGAAATATTTGCAGCCAGCTTTGTCCCTATCCTCTGTGCTAAAAGCAGCACAACTGGGGAGCAGAGAAGCAGGAGGGGGTGAAGCAGGGAGGCTTTAAGGACTTGGTGTTTTGCCACCTGCTCCAAGCAGTTCTGCCAGGGAACGCAGGAGTTTCAGGTGTGATTGCAGGGGATTGGCCTCCCCGAGGAACAGGGCATGCTGTGAATGCTGCAGAGGGTGTTTGGGGCTGAATGGGTGTGAGGTGAAATCTCCTCTGCTCCCTGGATGCCAATTCAAGCAGCTGCTGGGTGTTGTGAAACCTGGCTCTGCTTCCCTGCCCGTGCCAGCCTGCTTGCARGGGAGAGGCTCAGTGGCACCTATTATGCCTTATTAAAAAAAAAAAAAATTAAAGATTTTCTGGGCTGTTCTCCAAGAATTGCAGCAGGGAATCCACGGCTGGGGGCAGCAGACAGAATCCCTGGGGATGCAGTGCATCAATCCATAAAAAGGTGAGCGGGAAATGAGGGAATGGTGCTTGGGAATGTCAGTTCTGCTTCACGGTGGCAAGGAAAAATGAGGGTGAAAAACCTGCAGGGAGAGAAGCGGTGATATAGACAAAGAGGTGAGGATTTAAAGTAAAAACCAGATTTATTAATAATAAAGCCTGATAGGATAACTCCAAACACTTTAGAGATGGCAGAGCGAAGGGATGAGGGAGGGTGAGGACAGATGGATTCATTTCCTTGGGACTGCCCCAGCTGGGGATGGGATGTTTTGCCAAGAAAGCAGGGCAAGTTCATCAAGGTGAGGATTAATTATGGGGAAATTGGAGGAGTCACAGTCTGGGCAGCTGGGGCAGGAGATGGGATCTGGTTTCAGGTGAGACACCTGAGCTGTAGGGAATGAGTAAATCTCCACGTGGAACGCTGGGTGARGAGGTTTAATTGCTACAGAGCCCCYGGGAAACAATTCACAATAACCTGAATTATTGCAGGGAGAGAAACCCTTAGGACTGTTTGTGTGGGACTCCTTCAGCAGCCACATCCAGTTACTGGAGGCTTTTCCCTGAAGCAGCTCACGAGAGGCTTTTATCCTTGGGCAGATTCACCTTTGGGCTCATCTGCTGGCTTCTTGTTATTATATCTGGAGATTAGATGGATTCTAATTCTGGTGAATGCTGGGCAGATATGGCTATTAACCTTTCACTGGAGAGCAAAGATGCCATTAACTGCGAGCTGATAAGAACTATCCATAAAGAACCAGAATTAACTCCTTTTTTAAATTTTTTTTTCCTGAAATGTCTGTGGAGCTAAGCCAAAAGAAGAAAGTGTTTGTTTTTCAGACAGTTAAAGCAGGGCTTCAGGGAGAGCCAGGAGGAGGACAAAGTGGCTGAAACAGCTTGTTACCTCCTGAGAGGATTGAGTTTTTCTTGAGCAGGGAGAGGAAGAGGAGCTTGCTGCTTCTGCAGGGTGATTTCAGCAGCCTGGAGTGTGGAATTTGGGGATTTTCAGTGCCAGGATGCCCATGGTTCTTCATCAGCGCTGGCACTGATGGTTCTGCTCCCAGCTGGAGCAGCCCTTTGCATCAACTTTACTTTTTCCTGATATTTTAAGGTGAGGAGCTGCAAGAAGCCCTGGTGGGTGTTGAGRAGAGGTCGATAGGAAGAAGTTCCATTCGGAATTGCATCCAGCAGAGTGTAGGGACAGCCCTGAGGAGCTCAGCCAGGGCTGTGGGGTGGTCAGGGATGTTCAGCAGCTCCTGCTGAAGGCACAGAGCACGGGAGATCYGCTGTGGGGCAGGGACAGGATAAAATACACAGTGTGTGATAACCCCACAAGCACAGCCATCAGCACCTTCCCTGCACGGATATAAAAACGTTCCAGGGTCACAATCCAGCTTCCCTGAAAGCACAGAGCTGATTCAGTGCTGAAGCTCAGGCATCAGGTGGAGGGAAGGAGGGTGTTTTTAAAGCACTTTTTGCAGAGATCTTGCAGAAACTCCACATGGTCCAAGCCCAAATTTCATTGCCAGGGTTAAGAGCACACCGTGGCTTTTGCAGCACTGGGAGGTGGAAGTTCCTCCAGGAGGGAAAGAGCTCTTGTGATAAAGGGATATTGCTGGGAAAGATAGCACAGCTCAGGAGGCCCCTGTGGGTTATCTTCCCCAAACACAAGGGGGTTTTTAGGGCTTAGCTTTTATTTGTCCTTTCCTGCTCTCAGTTTCTGACCATGAGAGTATTTTCGGGGCACACAGCAGAGCCACAAGTTCCTCCCAGTCGCTCTTCTCCCCCGTGTGTCCTCTTGGGATGGATTCTCACCAGTTCCTCAATTTTCAGCTCTCAGAAAATCCTCTCTGGATGAGTTTCTGGGGGAAGCTGCAGCTGCTTGTGGGGTCTGGATGGTGCCAGGGTTCCTCACACCCCGTGCATGTCCTGCCAGCCCACAGGAGGGTGTGGTAGCCACAGATCCATCCTGGCTTGCCATCCAGGCACCGTGGGAGTGAGGACCAGCCTTTGGGGGCACAGGGGCTTGTATTTGGAGGGTGAGGAGGGGGTAAAGAGCCACGAGTTTTCTCTCAAAGATGGGAAAAAGGAGGGATAAATCTGGACCCACACAAAAAGGGGTCCCTCGAGTCTCTGGGGCTGCTGGGCTGGCTCTAGCTCTAGCTCTGCCCCAGTGACAGCAAACAGTCCAGCCCGTTCTCCGAACCGGCTGAGGAGTCCCGGGAGGAGCGGCCCTGGAGGAAACGGATGATTTTGTCGATGGTGGCCTCCTGGTACTCGTGGGACCACCTGTATTCGAGGGGAAAAGGTGACATTTACKTTTTGTGCTGTATGTGAGGGATCACAAGACAGCTCACAGGAGCCAGAGGGATTCCTCATCCCTCCACCTTTCCTCCACCCCAGCTCCTTGTTTCCCCACAGATGCTGCAGGATTCCCTGGAGGCTGGAGGGCACAAAGGGAAAGCAGGAGGGAAGAAAAACCTCTGTGAGCCATAAAAACTGCCAGCACGGCTCCTGCCCTGGGCCAGGTGTCACTGCCCTGTCACCCAGAGCAGCCCCAGCTCTGCACCAGCAGCAGGGATGTGCTGGGAACCTTTGTCCCCTACGGTGACTCAGTGTCCCTTTGACCCGTCCTGCCTCCCTCAGCTGTTTGTCCCAATGTCCTTGGGGTCATTGCTACCCCTTGTTCAWGCTGTTTTCTCCCCACGGCACAGGTGGCTGTCACTTACATGATGCCATTAAATTTCAGCACGGCCCTCATGTCCTTGGGGAGCGTCTCTGGGTCCGGCCACTCGAAATGGTCTGTGACAGGGACAATGTTCTTTCCAGAGTTCAGGGCTGTCACAATCTCCTGCAGGGACAGAACGTTCAGGTGCTCGTGGGCTGTGTCAGCCCATCACCAACTCCCTCTTGCTCCTGATGCATTGGGATTTTCGCTTCTGTATTTTTCATGTATCTGTAACCTTGGAATTCTTTAGTGGATAACTCCAGACTCCAAATACAGTGCTAAACTACAGTTCCAAACTACTGCTCTCCCATTTTTACACAAAACAATTCCTCTGCAGCCCCCAAACTCAAGGACACCTCACTGTGCCAGGCCCCAAGAGATGGAAACAACAGAGAATCGGGGGGAGCAAACTTGGAGTCAATGACTGCATTGGCTGCAGCTGCAATTGGAGAATTCACCCCCCAATGTGCAAATGGATAAAACTTATGAAGAACGAAAAATGTGTGACCAATGGTTCATTCTGGGTGTAGCCCCTGGTGGGCTGGGACTGCCCGGAATGTACCTGAAAGCCCTGAAATAAATTTGAAAAGCCCCTGCTTTTTATTTTCTGAATTTTGTCCAGCCTTTGTTTCAGGTAAACCAGATTTAGGCATCACCCCGATGTCCCCACAGCTCCCACCTGGTGGCATCTCTCACCTTGTGCACCCAGTCCTTGCACTCGGGGTCCTCCATGCATTTATCCAGCGCGTGGGGCGAGAGGACCAGCACAAAGTTCCGTGCGCTCAGGACGCTCTGGATCAGCTTGTCCTCGAATTTCCCCGCCTCCAGCTTCTCCACGTCGATGAACACGCTGAAGCCGTGGAGCTGCAGGTGCACCTTCAGCAGGCTGGTGGCAAGAGGGGACAGCACTGTGAGAAGAGGCTTCACGGGCTGTCCCACAGCGTGGGCTGAGACAGGGGAGAGGGGAATGAGGTGCCAGCTCCAGCCCAGAACACGAGGAGCTGACATTGACTCCCCCACAAGCATGAGGAAAGGGTCAGTCAGTGCCCCAGAGGGACAGGGGGACAGTGCCAGGACAGAGAATCACCCCATCCACCGTACAGGTTATGCCACGTGCTGTCCCCGTTTTTCCTGCAGCTTTTGGCAGACTCTCCCTCCTCCCCATTCCACATTTCTCCCCACAACTGACCCCTCTGGGCATCACCATTTCCTGCAGGACTCACCTGGCCAGCTGCGAGCCGGTGCTCCGGCGGTAGCTGATGAACACATCGGTGCCATTGGACGCCGTTTGCAGCGTGATGGGGGAGTGAAGCGTCTCTGGGCAGCACAAAAAAACCCTCCAGGTGTTAAAAACCACCCACCAGCTCACCCCAAACACCCCTGAGCGCCCCTCCATCCCCACCAGGACCCACCCCTGGCCGCGGTGAGGATGCGGACGCGGTGGAAGCCGGTGTGGACGTGGCAGTCGTCCTGCAGCTGCTGCTCCGTGACGCGGTGCAGGAAGTTGCGGTCGATGCCGCAGGTGAGCAGGTTGTAGGTGTACTGCCGGAATTTGGGGTCGATGCCCCCCAGCCAGTCGGCCAGGTTGCTGCGGTCACACGTGGAGTAGTCGGCGAAGGTCTTGAGCTCCGTCAGCTCGCGGAAGAACCTGGTGGAGATATGTGGAGGTGGGGAAAAGCGGAGTGGAGGGCAGCACTCAGAGACATGGGGGAGCTGCACAGCTTCTGTCTGCTCAGGAGGGAGTGCAGCTCCGTGCTGGGGTGAGGGATGAGCTGCAGGGACAGGGAACAGAGGAACAGCAGCTCCTTGCACCTCTGTGTCCCAAGCTAAGGGTGAGTTCCCACCTTTCTGTGTGACTTGTAGGATCCCACCTGCCCTGTGCCCTGTGCCTTGCCCCATCCCACCCCTCTGMCATGTGCTGGGATTTCAGAAATCCCTCTGGGGCTGMCAAGTGCAGTGGAAAAGCCCTGGCAGTCCAGGTTTTGCATTTGGAGGATCTCCATCCTTGTTTTTGCAGGAAGGGGAGGGCAGAGACCTCGTCCCTGGCTCTGCCCCTGCAGTGATGGCCGTGAGAGAGTCCAGTGTGCCCTGCTGGTGGTCCCACCTTTTCCGAGTGATGCTGGAGTCCATCCCCAAATCCTTCTGCAGCTCCTGCTCTGTCAACCTCAGGAGAATGTCCCCATCAACCTGGTGATCCTGCCAAGAGAAATCCGGGCTGGAAAGGTCCCCAAGTGAGATGCTTACACCTCTGCTGCAAGATGGGACAGAGGTGTCCACCCAGGTGACCCTCCCCAGGGCACGCAGCCCTACCAGGAATCTCTGGCAGTATTTGTTGAACCCGATCTGCTGCAGCCATGTCTGCACCTCGCAGGACTTCCAGTTGGGAACGGTGGGCAGGATGCGCCGAGGAACCTCCTCCCCTATCAGGCGCAGCACCTTTTTGGCTAGTGAGGAGGTGGTGCTGCTGGTGGARTAGCACACAATCCTCTTCAGGCTCTGCGTCGCCCCAATCTCACTGAAGATCTGGGGACACCAAGGGAGGAGGCGTCACTTTGCTTTCCCTCATCCTCCTCCCAACAATCAGGTGAGGAGAAAAGTGGTGAGCTCACAAAAGACACCAAAACGCGCCCGTGGCTCCCCTTCCCTTCAGCACCACCTTCCTCCAGGCCAACCTACCCTTTACCTGTGTTTTCTTCTGTGTGGCTTTGATGGTGGCCTCGGTGCAGAGGTAGAAGGCGGCGATGCACTGAGCCTCCAGCCGGGAGCTGTCCAGCAGCGGCACCAGGCGCTGCAGATCCTGCGCCGTCCGGCCCTGGACGTTGTCGCTGCTGCCCAGCATCTCGCGGGCGAAGCGCTCCGGGTCCAGCGAGGCAATGAAGGGCTCCACCAGCGCCAGCGTGCCCGAGCGCTCCACCTCCTTCTCAATCTCCTTGTTGGTGGCCAGCACGGTGATGGCCAGGCAGGCGTGCAGCCGGATCAGCTCGTCGTCCCTGGAGAACACCAGCGGGAAAAGCCACTCGGCTGCTTTCTTCTCGATCATCAGTCGCTGGTTGGCGTGGCCACCGTACATGGCGCAGTTGGCCAGGGCCATGGCGCAGTGGCGCAGCACGGCGGGGTCTGTCCAGCGGCACCAGTACAGCACGGTGTCCAGGCCCCCGTCGGAGATGAGCTGCGAGCAGGTCTCCTCCGTGTGTTTGAACATGTGCTCCAGGATGCCCGAGAGGCTCCGGGCAAGCTGAGGGATGTCCCGCTCCTTGGCCAAGTTGAGGATGACGCCCAGACCGACCCGGGCGAGCCGGTCCCTGCGGGGAGGAGAGGAGGGTGAGGTGGACGTGCAGGGAGTGAGGACAATGACCAGTGTGAACTGCCAAATGCCTTGGTGCCTTTTGTCCCAGGAGAACTCCCTGTGGGACACAATATGCACCAGGCTGCTGCTGGAAGAACCTGATGGAAGAGCTGTGATGAGACAGGACAGGGGATGGTTTTCCCCCTGTGGGGGAAAAGGTGGCCCCACAAGCCCTGAATCTGAAACTCAGCCAATTATTGTGTATGACTGAGTCCTGGGAAAAGAAAGGGAGTGTTAACAACCTACATAGAAGAAGAAGAATGCCGCATCTTTAGCTACTGTTGAGAAAAGGAGATTAGAGTATAAAATTGATAATGCAGGTAGCTAGAAATTATAAACATTACTAATACTGTAGCTTTTGCAAACTCACCAATTATGTTCTGATTACTAATTAAACAGTTATCTCTTAACCAATGTATGTTCGACACAAATGTATACTTTAGTTGCTAAAGTAGATAAAAGAGGCTTGTCCCACAATAAAGTTCTTCCTTCCTTCTTTCTCTCTTTTTTTTTTCACCTACTTTTGTGTGTTTTGTATCTATTATTTTATGTCGCTGTTTAGCCAGCAGCGACACATCCCCCTCCCCCCCAGTGCTGCACAGCCCAGGATCCCCTCGCTGGATGCCCTCATGCTGGAGTAGGACATTCAAGGCAATCAAGCAGTGAATGCAGGGCTGGAAATGGCTCTGGCCTTGGGACCCCTGTGCTTAAAATGACCCCTGAATGGGGCTGTGCCTTGAAAACACAGTGGGGAAGGGGGAAAGCAGGATCATGGAATGGTTTGGGTTGGAAGGGACCTAAAAACTCACCCAGGTCCAACGCCTTGCCACAGGCAGGGACAGCTTCCACTRGCCCAGGYTGCTCCAAGCCCCATCCAGCCTGGCTTTGGACACTGCCAGGGATGGGGCAGCCTCACCACCCTCTGAGATGAGCTCTTGGCTGTGCTGCCAGSAGCTTTCCTGTGCTGYCTGAGCATTCCTGCCCTCAGCAGTGGCCATTTGGTGCCGTGATGGAGTTTGTGAGGCAGCCCTGGTACCAGTGCCCCGTGCCCCACTGCTCGTGAGGGCGGTGGCACGCTCGGTCCCCAGCGACAGTGGGGTGATGGCACGCCAGCCTCTATGCTGGCAGGCAGGAAGGACATTTCTGGGAAGCCTGTGACCCACAGGGCTCTCACTGACCTTGGGGTGGGTTTGACAGGAAATGTTGTGGAGAGCCCTGGGGAAAGAAAAAAATTAAAAAAAAGTCCCTGAGCCTGGGTCTGGCTGCAAGCCCGGGCTCAGCCGTGGAGCTGGATGACAAACACGGCCCCAACAGGTCCCTGCAGCTGCAGATGGAGCCAGGACCTGGCCAGCTCCCAGCCAAACACCCCACAGACTGGGGGAGTTCTGTGAGTGAGAGGCTGGSACCCCACAGGGAACCCCAYACCCCACACCCCACACCTCCCTGTGGTGGCTCAGAAGTTGTTGGAAGCTCCAACACTCCATGAGCTGCCCCTGGAGTGGAGACAGCAACTCCAGCGAACCCTTTCCCATGCTAAGAAGCCGAGTGCCGAATGCAGACGGTGCCAGTGATGCTTCCTGGGATTAAATTCCACCCTAATGGGCTTTCCTGATTTAGCTGCCGCTTATTTTTGCCTGCAGCAAGGCCTGGGCAATGAGTCCCCAACCTTCAGTGAGGGACATGCCCCAGGAAGCCGGAACAACGCTTTGGCCAGGCCCCTCTGAGTGCTGCCCAGAGCCCTGGCAGGGCTCAGCAGGGCTGGGGGGCTCCGAGGGGGGAGTGCAGCTGACAGGGGGAGTTTGGGGTGCTGGCAGGGTGAGCTGTGCGCGGGTGATTTGGATGTGTCGGGTGCCACGTGTGCACACACAACACACACTCAGGAACACACACACACACACTCAGGAACACACACACACACGCTGCCAATCCCATTGTGCTCTGACACAGACATCCCAGCACCTCTCACCTGTCCCGGATCTGAGCTAGGGGATGAGGGCTGCTGACCAGCTGACCCCTCCTTACGGCCTCATTGCAGCCCTGGTTAGCAGCAGGAAGGCTCTGGGAAGTGGCTTTGTCCTCCTCCTCCTCCTCCTCCTCCTCTTCCTGCTGCAGTTATGGCTAAAGGGGAGCCACATCTTGTGCTTTTTGGGTCAGGTGCTCTGGCTCAGCCAAACTGACTCAGCTCAGCCGGCTGAAGGGGGCTCAGGAGGACACCCCAGTTCTCCTCAGCATCCCAGAGCTGGGGCTGGTTCTCCTCCCTCCTGCTGCTGGGGAAGGGAGCAGCAGCTCGTGGTCATTGCCTGGGCGTGAGTCAGGGACCCACTGCACAAGTGTGAGGATCCGAGGGGAATCGTGCACCAGGAGCACCCAGATCAGGGAAATTTGGAGGCTGTGATGGGGGAGGCCAGGTTGGATGGAGCTTGAAGCAACTTGGACTTTGGGAGGTGTCCCTGCCCGTGGCTGAGAGTTGAGCTGAGGGCTTTAATGTCCCTTTGAACCCATTGTGGCGGTGCCCGGGGCGCTGGGAAGGGCTGTGCCCGCCAGGGTGGGGGGCTCTTCACACACTCACCGGTTTTCTGCCACCAGGATCTGCTCCAGGAGTTTCCCCGCCTGGCACTTGACCTCCAGCTCGGCGGTGTAGAGCAGGTGCAGCAGCAGGTCCAGGCCCCCCTCCAGGCGGATCACATCGCACAGCACCTTGGCCACGTCCCTGCCCACGGCCGGCATGGCCCAGGCCTCCTCCACCAGCCGGAACACCTCGGACAGGGCTGCCCGCAGCCCCTCGGGGGTGGCCGCCTGCGTGGCGTGGGCGATGGAGCGGCGGAGCACGGGCAGGACCCGCTCCAGCGCCTCCCGCACCTCGGTGCCCACCCCGGGGGAGACCCCGTCGTGCCCCGGGCCGCTGCCCCCGCTCGCCCAGCCGCTCGCCCGGCTCACACACTCGGGCACCGCCAGCCGCTCCGCGCTCGCCATGGCCAGGGACCGGCCCAGGGTGTGCAGCGACAGCAGCAGGGCGAGCATCGGCGGCTGCTACCGCGGCATCCCCGCTCCCCTCGGCGCCCGCGGGGATGCGGGTGGCCGGGCGGGGGGCACGGGATGGGGGGATGCGCCCCGCTGGCCCCTCCGCCCTGTCGGGATGCGGAGCTGCGAGCGGAGCGGGATCCGCCTTCCCCGAGCCGGGCTCAGCATCCCGGGGCCCGGGGCTGATGTCACCGGGCGCAGGCGCCGCCTCTGCGAGGAGGGGCTCGGTGCCGGCAGCTGCAGCCCCCTCCCGCTGCAGATCCCCCCGGACATCACCTGCCTGCGACCCCGGAAGGGTTTAACAGAAAAGCGTGGATGTGGCGCTTGGGGCATGGCTCGCTGGTGGGGCTTGGCAGGGCTGGAGTCGGGCTTAGAGTGCTTTTCCAGCCTAAATTCTGTGATTCTCTGATTGTGGCCTTTCGGTGCTTATGGAAAAAAAAAGGGAAAGTGACTTTTTACACGAGTAGATAGTGATATCTATCTATCTATCTATCTATCTATCTATCTATCTATCTATCTATCTATCTATCTATCTATCTATCATCCATCTATCTGTCTATCTATCTATCTATCTATCTATCTATCTATCTATCTATCTATCTATCTATCGCAAGGGGTTTTGAAATAAAAGAGGAGAGATTTAGATTAGATATTGGGAGGAATTTTTTACCTGTGGAATGGTAGGACACTGGCACAACTTGCCCAGGGAAGCTGTGGATGTCCCAACCCTGGAAGTGYCCAAGGCCAGGCTGGAGGGGCTTGGAGCAGCCTGGGATAGTGGAAGGTGTTTGGAAACACACATTCTTCTCTTCCAACCCAAAACATTCTGCGATCCCACAGCCCTCCCTGTGCATCCTGAGCTGTCCCCTTGGCCCAGGTCCCCCCGCCGTGCCCGAGCTGCTCTGTGGTGTCACTTCCACGGCGGGCAGGGACCCCCACGCTGGTTTTGCAGCACTTCAGGTCACTCTGTGAGCAGGGAGGGGGCACAGGGTGGAGGTAAAGAGGACCAGGCACCGTGGTGGTCACGGTGAGGCTGCGACCACCCCGGCACAGCGTTTTGAACCCGTTTGGTATCAGCAGGGGGCAAATACCCACCGCTCGGTGGGAATTCAGAGCGGCTCTTCTGGGTGGGCTTTGGATTTGCATGATAAAAGAAAGAGCAGGGGCAGCCTGGGCCTCTTTTGTTTTCTTTTTTCCAGGCCAGACGTGCTCAGGGCAGAAATGTTTAAACGCTTTGGGCATTTCTCGGATGTGCTGGGAGGAGCAGCTTAAGTCCTTGGCTCCAAACCCAGGTTGTTGCCAGGTCAGCCTGAGACTTAAATTCGAGTTGATGTTTGGATGTGACAGAGTCGCTCTTAATCCTCTCTGAATCCACTACGAAGGGACAGAGCGAGGAAAGGGACAGGACGGCAGAGAAGGCATCCCAAGTAGCACAGAACTGCGGGAAAACTCGGCACTGAACCGGTGAGGATTTTCCTGATAAATTATTATTAATTGGGGGAAGGACATGGGCTGTTGCAGTGTAGAGCAGCAGAAGGTTTTGCAGCCCGGGGGCAGCAGAATTCAAACCATTCCCTCAGGCTTGTCCTGACTAGCCCAGAGAGCTGAGTTTGCTTTACTTTGCGTTTAGTTTTGCTCTGCTTTGCTTTTCGGGAGGGATTTTCAGAGCAGCAGCGGTCCCCAGCCTTGTCCTGGGGGATCAATCCCATCCCCTGAGTTCTCCTCACGGACTTTGCTCAGCCCTTGGCTGCAGGAGCTCCCCAGGGCCCCTTTATCCAKCCGAGCCYTCTCCTGGGATCTCCAGCTGGCAGGGAAGGGCTCGCTGAGCCTCCGTGGGTCTGTGGGAGCCTGGAGCAGCAGGAGGGAGCTTTGTCTTAGCYGATCAGCAAAAGCAGCTCAAACAATGCCCAACCCTCATCTCCCAGAGCCTCCCAGGGCTCTTTTCCCCCGGGACTGGTGCAGCAGGGATGGGATGGAGCCGGTGCTGGCACTTGGGGACAACGCCAGCCCTGCCACGGCCGAGGCCAGAGGACAAGGGATGGAGTGAGGGCTGCAGAAATTCAGAAATCCTGCCCTCAGCTCCCCAGGGCTTCCAGGTGGAAAAATGCCTGTCTCAAATCCAAATAAAGCTCTTCCTGCAAGGGTGGGAGCAGATGATGCCAGGAACTGCCTGAGTCTGAGCTGGACCCCTGGAGAAGTGGGCATCCTTGGGTTCCTCTCCTCCCAAATCCTGCATCATTTAAAGCCCACCGCTGCTGCCCGAGGGTGGGGACAGACCCCACGGATCTCCTGTCTGCAGAAGGGACAGGATCGCTGCAGAAGGGACAGGATCGCTGCAGCCTCGTGCGGCGTTCGCTCCTTGCCCCCGACTAAACAAACATCCCAGAGTTATCAGGAGCCGCCGAAAGAGCTGAGTCGGCATTAATTAGTAACCGAAAAGATTGGCTGGAAAGGGAATGACGGGAGCAAAATACACAGGCTTTTGTTTGCCTTCTGCAGTGAAAGTGCAGAGGGCTCCTGCCCCCGGCCCTCACCTCTGGTCCCCAGGCACAGAGATGGCACCTGCCCCATCCCGAGCCACCAGGCTTTGTGGCTACCTAGATCTTGATGTTGAGAAAGCTGAAATCCCAAGAAAAATCTCTCCAAAATGGTGCAGTTTTGGGCAAATATAAACCCGGGAGTTTTCCCTGAGCATCGCTGCCCCATCCCGTTTCCTTTGGGTTTTTGTCTTGCCAAGGCCAGGCTGGAGAGCAGCTGGGGGCTTTAACACTGTGAGGATTGTTATGAAATCAGTACGGCAGGACCTCAAAATGCTTCCTGACTCTGGCCTGCTGTTCCTCCCCACTCTTGGAGCAGTGTCCAGTCTTCACCGGGGCTCCTGCAAGCGTGGGGAGCCCCTGTCCCCCCCAAACACCCCAGGGCTGTGGGGCAGGCTGGGTGGGGGATCATCTCTGCCCCTTTTTCCCGGTACTGACCTTGAGCTGTTTGCTCTCTCCCGCCGGGGCAGGCTGAGCAAACAGTGGACGCTGGGGCTTTGCCGCGCTCCGGGGCGCTCAGTCGGAGGAGAGCTGCGCTCCCGAACACCCAGGATGGGGCTGCTCTTCCCTGCCCTCGTGCTGGCCCTGCTTGCCACCACCCATGCTGCAGAAGGTGAGCCTTGGCCATGCCAGGTGCTGTGGGGATGGAGCAGCTGGGGCTCCTGGGTGGGTGGAGGGGCTGGGCAGGATGGGGAGGGGAGGGAGGGGATGGTGGTGATGGTCAGCAGTGGCTGTACCTTGAGGATGGGAGAAAGCAAATGGGCAGCACATGGGGGTTGATGGTGCCTTGGAAAATCCCTGGCCACCCCAGCTTGGAGCTGGGATCATGGCACAGCCCAGTCTGTGGCTCCCATCCCAGCAGGACCGGGGTGGGAGCAGGGCCAGGAGCCACTGTAAACCCTGGTGATGGAGCTGACTGTGAAAATGTGGGGTACCCCCAACCAGGACACCCCCAAGTTCATTTCCATCCCTTGGAGCTGGGCTGGGGGGAGGCGAGGGCCCCACTGCCTGCCCCACATGACCCCTCCTGAGCCATGGGGTGGCTGTTGCAGACTCGTGTGAGGGCCGCTGTGAGGAAGGCTTCGACGCAGGGCGCAAGTGCCAGTGCGACACCCTGTGCGTGTACTACCAGAGCTGCTGCAGTGACTACTCCACCGTCTGCAAAGCCAAAGGTACTGTCCCCACGGCCACCCTGCTGGCCAGGGCTCTGCACAGGCTGCCCCAACACCGTGGGGCTCCAAGGATCTGTGCTGGGTCAGCTCTGCACCCACCCGTGTTTGCAGAGTGGATCAGCACCGGGGTTTGCTGCAGCACGTGGGGGTTTTGGGAGCTGGCTCACAGCATCTGCAGCGTGGGATCTGGGCTAATTGGATGGACTGGGGAAAATGCCTTCACTGGAAAGGTGGTTGGGCATGGGAGCAGTGGAATCACCATCCCTGG